TCCTTTTGTATATATTTCTTAAATAAATGAACTTTTAAATTTGTTTATTTGAGAAAAAATTATTTCAAATATTTCCATAATAAATTTTAGTTCATTAATATTCAAATTTAGTTTATTGAGAATATTAAAATAGACATGACGGCAAGAATGGGTAGAATGTCCGTGAAATGACGCCGTGATTGGTCCTATATTAGTCAGAGAATGCCAATAACGACGTTTGAAAGTTTTCATGTGTTTCTGTTTTTTCTCTTCAGTTTCCACACTCACACACTACCATTGAAGGCAACTATGCATTACACATATTAAGCTTCTTCTTTCTTTGTAATGCTTATTCATTCACAAAAACCATCACACAAAAACCCTCTTTCCAATTCCATAACCTCCTCATTCACCAAGCTTCACTTTTTTGTTCTCAATCTTTCACTTCCCCAGGTAATCTTATTCTTCTTTCTGCAATCTCTTGCTTTTCTTTTGAATTTTATCGATAAGGAAAACCCATATAATATAGTTGATCAAGTTTTTGTTTTTTTATTGGTTTGCATCCTAGTAAGAATTGATCAGATGAAAAGTTTAGTTCTTGCTATGTTTATGAAGCAACCTACAATCAATTTATTGATTCTGATATCATACATAGGAATTGTGTTGTGTATGAAACTTTTTTTATGCATACATTGCTATTATGCTGTCATCTAACACAGTTTTCTTGGTTGATTATCAGAGAGATTGAGATGCCACAAGAGAGTTGCCAAAACTCATTTTTCACATCTCCTTCAAAGAGAGGATTGAAGGGTTTAGTGGTCACCACCATGAACAAGGAGGCTTCATGCACTGTCACAGAGGAAGGTTTCAATGATAATGAATTGGCACAGAGGAAGGCAGAGGAAGCAGGTATGCTTCTTTAATGTCACACACCATGCATGCCATTAATATCTAGTTATAATATAAATACAGGTGTGTAATAATGCAGTTTAATACCAGATATGTAAATATAATTATAGTTTAATCTTCATATATTATTACTGGTATGAGTTATTTTTCAATATCCCTCAATGGAATAATTTTATGTTTATATTTTACAATAGTTAATGTTTTTTAGGAACATGGGGATCAGAGATTGATTGATACTATACAAAACTTGTTCATTCACAATATAAAAAATGTTGATATTTCAAATTGATGTACACTTTAGTTTTGTTTTAATAAATGTTAAAAATTTATTCATTTTATCCCTTCACTCATACTATATTATCTTGAAGTGGTTACTTTTGTTTTTTGTTCCTGTATAAAACCTTTAACATGGATCAATTTGAAATTGAGGGAATAATTCACTTTACTGAAAGAGTTCATATCCTGAAATGGGAATAAGATTTTCTCCTCTTGGAAAACCTTATTGGAAGTAGCAAAAGGTTGCATACAACCTGCAAATTTGTGAAAGTAGGCATAACTTGAACAAAAATTGTTGCACATATCTGTGTTGAGTAGTTCCTCTTCCAGAAAAGAAAAAAAAGAAAGAAGACAACAGCTCTTTGTGAAAAAGTAGATAATTGACAAAAGATGCTTAAGTTGAGGCACGTTTCTAGGTGTTATGTTTGTTTCTTATGACCCAATGAAAAGAAAAGAAACAACATATCATTTGGTTATTTTAACAACTCATTTGTTGTTTTTCTCTTTTCATTTTTGGTCAACCAAATTATTACTTGGACCTCTTTACTTAACAAAAGCAGAAAAAGCAATGTTAAAATACAAAAAGTTAGGTTTATATGTTAAACAAAGTGGGGGTGGCTAGAAAAGAAAAAAGAATGAGATGTAGCAAGAGATTGATGATGAAGAATAGTGTGTGGGGGAAAGTGTTTGTACTAAAATGGATCACCACCCCACCACCCTTATGGACTGTGCCCTTGTCCATAAGGGTCGGGTCCAAAATTTGTGCAATCAAGTATCTTACTTATAACCTAAAGGGTTCATCATCATTATAGTGAGATATTATTATTATTATGACCAGTTATTTTATTATTGATTAGGAGATATATTTTTAAATTTTTTTATGAACATAATCATGATTATAAGTTCCCCAACTATGATTTTAGAGCATAATGTTAAGCATTATCGATTATCAAGACCCTACATCAAGTAAGCAAGAAGCACCATAAATTTGTAACATTGCAAATGCCACTTTGCTGTTATTAATCATTGTTAGTGTCTGTCTTAACTTTTAATAACAGTTTCTTAACTTTTCTTTGATGATTTTGACACAATACAACCATTCTCTATCTTTTTGGTGACTTCCTATTACACCTTTCATTTTTGTGATCTTATTTTGTGATGAAAATGGTTTGGTTTTTGTTGAATGGTGGAAGCTTGGAGAAGATACAAAGCAACAGAATGGCTACGCCAAATGGACAATGTTGCCTCATTATCACTCACTGAAACACCCTCGGAAGAAGACTTTTGCCTTGCTCTACGCAATGGTCTTATTCTCTGCAATGTCCTCAACAAAGTCAACCCCGGTGCTGTTCTCAAGGTCCACTTTTTCCATTTTTCAAAGCTTATAATTTCCTCTTTTATTTATAAATATAAGTTTAACTGAAAAATTATAATTTTTTAATATAAAAAATTATTAGTATCTATATATTATGCCGGGCAAATAAGACATTATCAACACGAGTCCGTGTATTCCACCTTATATTTGACCTGATCAAACACAAAATCGGTCAAAATAATACAAGACTTTAGTTTTCATACTATCGCTTTTTGCACCTGTACAATTACTAATTGCACTCCATAAATAAGAGGAAAAGATTCAAACACCCTTTGTCACTGCACCACACTGCCACTGCTGCTATCATCACCGCTGCCATCATTATCTCTGTTGTAGAGGAAGAAGAAGAGAGAAAATGCAGCAAAAAAAACTCATTTTGAAAGCTCTTTTCGGAATATTTCATATATTTTGGAAAGTTTTTTCCATGATACACTTCATGTAGGAATGCTCCGGAAGACATGATATGTGTTACAGAAAGTTTATTTCGGAAATTCGATTTCAGAAAACATATTCTAGAATAAATTTCCTGCATTTCAAAAATTTTGTTCTGGAAATCATATTTCGAAAATTCTATTTTAAAAATTTTGTTAAATAAATTTCATTCTTAAAATTCTGAAAAACTTGTTTTGGAAAGCTTTTGGAATGTGTAATCCGGAAGTCACTTTTCTAAAAGGCAAAATGGTCATTTTGAAAATTTGAAAGGTGTACGAAGAAATTATGAGGCTGGTGGAAGTAAAAGCCTAGTTTTCAAAGTGTTAATTTGGTGACAATGTTTTTTATTTGGTTGTTTTATGTATTGGGCTGGATAGGTGGTGGAGAATCCTGGGCTTGCTGTTCAATGTGCAGAGGGGGCGGCCCACTCAGCAATTCAGTATTTTGAAAACATGAGGAATTTCTTAGAGGCTGTTAAGGAGATGCAGCTTCTCACATTTGAAGCATCTGATTTGGAGAAGGTTTGGCCTTTGGATTTTCTATTTATTTCTTTTCATTCTCTTTTTAATCACTCAATTATGGAATTATTTTGGTTTACTCAATAATAATAACTAATTAAAAATAAGATTATTAATAATTAATAAAATCATTTTCTGTTTTGCTCTTAAAATAAAAAAGTTGGAGTACGATGTGCATTCTATTGTTTAGACAATAAAAGAATTAATTGTCCGGTTTCTTGTACTGAATGAATTACTTTTTAAGGGAATTAGATTCTAATTATTTTTAACACCCTCAACTGATAAAGAAACGATTTTCGACATAACTGCTGTAATAGTTACTACTGGAAATAAACTTTTTTTGTAACAATAATAAAAAATAATAATGTTAATAATAATAATTATAAAAATAAGTATCCAGATAGAAAAAATAAAATTAGAATAAATAAATAAAAACTAGTTACAAAAATTAGTTTTATTAGGCGTTATAGTTATACAATAAAAATATTTTTAATCCGGTATTTCTTACCTATTATAGAAGCTAAAATATTGTTTAACAAAAATTAGGATAAAAGAAAGTAAAAATAGTAAAAAAGAATAAAAAATAATAAAATGGGCCATATTTCATAATAATATAAATAAAATTATTATTTATTTCAGATTATTTTTTATATAAATAATAAAGCCAATGACATAAGTTGTATTAATAAAAATAAAATTGGTAATACAACATGTAAAAGAAATTTAAAAAAGGAGAAATATTTTTATTAATAAGTATAGATTATATAAATTAATTAATACATTTATTGGTAATCTCTAATTGGATTATAGAATAAAAGAACAAGGTTATTAAATTTGAGAGTTTATGTAAACTTGTAAGAGCCGAGTAAATTCGACTTATAAACTCAACTCATAAACTCGTAAGAGTTTACTTTAGATAAAAAAAATTATATAAATAATATCTTAATTCAAATAAGTGTACAAAATTATATAACTTTAAATAAATAAAATTTATAATTATATTGTTCATAAAAATAAATATTGTAAAACATAAATACTTGAATTATTGTCATTAATTTTGATGCATTTAATTAAATATATAACTTTCAAGCTCGCAGAATCGCTCCAAACTCACGATTCTACATGATCTTACCGATTTCACTGAGTTTACGTAGAAAATGAGTTTACTTCCGAGTTAACTCGGAAGTCATGTCTGGAAATGTAAACTCGTACAAGTTTACTCGAGAGTTTGATAACCATGTAAAATAGTATATATTGGTTGATAAATTAATTAAGTTGCAAGATTGAATGAATTTTATCTTGTTTAACTAATATGTTAAATCTTTTAGTACTTTATAAAAAGAATTCATGAAAATAAAATATTTGAATATTCTTGAAAATAAAATTTTTCATTGTTGTATTTTTAGTACTTAAAAATAACTGAAAAAAAATACTGGAGGATTAAAATTATTTTATATTGATTATTAAATTTCTTATTGTAACCCATATACGTTTGAAAATGGTTTCTAAATTTTAAATACAAAGTCATTTGAATTAATCATATTTGCTTCTTCAATAATTTTAAATCTCTCTGCCCCTATATATATATATATATATATATATAT